CTGTAGGTATCCCTCTAGCATCATTTCTGGAAATGCAAGGCTCTGCTCCATTTCATGGGTCACCTTCTACTGAGTCCGCCATGTTGAAACACCATGTTTCTACAGCAGCCCTAACCAAAACCCAGTGTTTGGTAGATGGGGACTTTCACATTTTTTACAAGCTTTGTGGCCATCGTAGTTTCTCTTACACTTTAGAGCCTGTTCTCATTGCCAGGTCATCAAATACAGACGCAAACGGTGTTCAGTTGGTTGCAATCTGCAACTTCACCACTAGATATAACCTACACACTGGTCCTTTAAGTACATTACATAAGTTAACTTACAGACGTTACTTAAAGGAAGTTATTTACTTTTGGTTTCATAAACAGCGGTCTCCTGGGTTAAAGTTCTGTGTTTGTTTGATCAGGGCTGGCCAAACATTTTAGGGCCCAGCCAATGGGGCCAGCCATTATCATGTTACATAGGAGAGAGAGAGCATGCACACACGTTGATATGAGTAAAGCAGATGTGGGTGGTGTCCATTCACGCCACTTCTGTTGGCGTCATCTATCCACCCCACCACTCTATATGCAGAATTTCTCGTTGTCACCTGACTTTGATGGCGGGTGCCTCACTACAGCATCATTGGTAATGAGACCGTGTTGGTTTTAAATGAACTAGTGTTAAACCTGTATATACTTGCTTCAAATAACCACATTGTGGGTGAAAAGCCTGCCAACATAGACAGGGCTGGGATGTTACAATTGGGAATAACAGAACTCTGAATTACTGCCCGTATCTTACATTCTTTGAGCAGGTGAGATAAAAACAATTTTGGGGATGTCCCTTCTTGCCAGAGCCATAAAAATAGCTCCATCCATGGAGAAAAAAATAACAGAACTAGGTGTGAAAAATCTCAATTTCTCAGCTGTGCGGGTTATTGTAAGTCTATTTACAGAATTAACTATCCGCCTTTAAATTGACATATTTTCTTGATCATTATCAAAAACTGTCAGTTTAAGTTAAAACTAAGTTAAAAAGATATGCCTTACCTTTTTATCTGGATATATACAATTATTCAGTGTTTCTTCCACAAGTGTATCTTTAAAGTGCAGTGGATCACAATAATTCTCCACTCAATGTTGGACTATGGTTTAAAGAGGGTGATCAGCTCTTAAAATAAGGGTGGATCCGCCTTCATTGTAGGTTTTACTGCTTACGCTAAAACAGTCAAATTTTATTTAATTTTATTTATTACATTAGTAATGATCAACATTCAATTTACAATTCAGTTCAATTCAATTCAATTTTATTTGTATAGCACCAATTCATAACAGAAGTTATCTCAAGACACTTTTCAAACAGAGCAGGTCTAGACCGAACTCTTTATAACATTATTTACAGAGACCCAACAGTACCACCATGAGCAAGCACTTGGCGACAAGGGCAAGGAAAAACTGCCTGTTAAAAGGCAGAAACCTAAGACAGATCCTCCGGCTCTAGGTGGGTGGTCGTCTGTCTCGACCAGTTGGGTAACATAAAACTAGCTAATATGATTTTTTTTGTTGAAAGTCCAGCAGCAGCAAACTAATATATCAGCATTATATAACAGATAAAGCTACGTTGAAGATGTAGTGTGCAATTGTTTTTAAGAAAGTGGAAATACTAGGTCAACACAAGGTCTTTTATTAGACACGCCTGTGATCTGCCCAGTGTAATATCCCCATCATAATTGGTGCACAGATGTCACATATGCTGTTGACATTTCACCGAGCAGAAACAATTTGGTCGTGTGAAATAAGTGGAGGGCAGGGATAAGAGCTGAGTGAGGAGAGTGAGGAGGAGGAGGAGCAGGAAGAGGAGGAGGAGAGGGAAGACTGCTAGTTGAAATAGTGTGTAAAAAGATAAAGTTAAAGTGGGAGTGCGCTTGGTGCCAGTAAAGACAGATGCTAATAGATTGTGGGATATACAGGACATTTTTATTAGAGGGGGTGACACCATTACATGAAGCTCTGCTGCCTAATCACTGTGTCCAGCAGCCCAGATGAATGGAAACTAGTTGTCTGTGTTTAGTTTGGTAATAAATATGAGTGAGAATCAAGGTATTGACCACAATATATGTGTAACCGAAAAACTGTATTGAAGCCTAAACTTTTCCATCTGCTAATTTTGAGTTGCTGGCTCATGGGATAAATGCTGTTCAGTTTCAGAAAGAGCAGTTGTATAATTCATCATCAGCGACATAAAAATGGACCACATGACAGATCTCCAAAAGTGAAACCCCAAAAAAGCCTGCTGGTGGCTGACTGCAGTATAGGTCATAAAGCCCGCTCCCTCCATGTTAGCAGATGGCCCAATTCAAAAAAATCACAGTACAAGTCAAATATATTTTTCCCAAAGATGATTTCTGTCATTTTGAAGCTATAAAGAGGGGTTTCATGCCATGATTGACCGCGATTGAGTCGGCCAGGTGTATGGGCAGGACATCAATACTATGGCAACCCCGTTCAATACTGCGCAGATTCTGGCTCCTAGTGGCAAAAGATGGCAGCTGCCATATCTGGGATATTGTGGGTTAGTTTTTGTATAGTGGGAGGAAGTGGACATCTGTTATATGTCGATGGTTTAGACTCTGGGTCTTCAACAGGGGGTCCACAATCCCGAGGGTGTCCTCAGAGTTTCTGCAGGGGTGCCACAAAATTATTGTTTGATCATTTTTTTTAATTTATTTTTTCAAAAATTAAATGTCTCAAAATACACATTAAATGGTAAATGGACATGTACTTGTATAACATATTTCTGAAGTTTTTTTTTTTTTGGCCTTGTATTGCCTTTATTTGATTGATACAGCTGAAGATAGACAGGAAGGGGGAGTAGAGAGGGGATGACACGCAGCAAAAGGCCTTTCTAGTCTTCCGAGCACTCAAAGCGCTTTTATACTACGTGCCATATTCGCCCTTTCACATACATTCACTCAGCGATGGCAAAGCCCATCGAACAGAAACTGACGCATTCATACACATTCACAATTTGGGGTTCATCTTACTCAAGGATACTTCGATGTGGCAGGAGGAGCCAGGGATCGAACCAAAAACCTTCCGATTAGGGGACAACCCGCACTGCATCTGCACCAGAGCCACCCATTCATTAACATGAATCCAACATATAATTAATCAAGATAAATTGTATGTATGTTTAGAACTAAACCATGAACATGATGTGAATCTGTCAATTATTATTTTAATAGCTTATTATTATATGCACAAGAACAAGGTATGTTTAGGTCACCCTAAATGTTCTTGTAGGCCCAGTTTAATATGCAACACAATTTTATAAAATATAATGTAGTAGGAGGTCCCTGCTGTCAATCAGGGGGTCCTTGGCCTGAAAAAAAAAAACCCTGGTTCATACAAAAGCAACTGCTCCTTGTGTCTGCATTTATATGACTCCATAGAAATAGACTTTCCAGACTGCGTATCTGGTTCTCAGGTAATCCAAAAGTAATGGATATAATATTGAGATACTTGGATTAGGTTACTGACTACATTATATCACAAGTAGTAATCGTATGAGATTACATTTTCAAAGTAACCCTCAAAATCCTGTTTATGTGCAAAGTCTGCCTTTCCTTCTTTTATGTAAGTGACCTTGGCCTTAAAAGTCCAGTTTGTAACATTTATGAGGATCTATTGGCAGAAATTGAATATAATATCCACAACTATGTTTTCATAGTTCTCATAGCTTGAAGTTTTTAGCTTTGTTTTGTTTTTGTTACCTTAGAATGAGCGTGAGAGTTGAACTGCCATGTTCCTACAGTAGCGCACAGTGGACAAACCAAATACTGACTCTAGATTTTGTGCAAGTTTTCCCCTTTGCACTTGCAAAGGTAGGGTAAAGCGAGGGAGTTGTGTTCTGCAACTGGCTCAATGCTACTAAATCCTATACACTGGTTTCTGATTCTTCCAAGAAGGGTTCATCAAGGGCTGTTAATTAATTTCCTACAGCACTGAGAAAGTTGGCAAGATCAGCTTGGAGTCATCTATTGTGCATACTGTTGTGTGACTGACAGACTCATTTCATCCATCACTGAAATGTTCATGAATTAAAAAAAAACCATCAGAGTGTTCAGCTTTTTTTCCCTCAAAAACAAGTATCAGCTCTTCCTCAGAACATTTGCCTTTATTTCCAGAAACATATCATTCTCACACTCTCTATTTTGTGCCAGTACCTACAGTGTATTTGAATCCTGCTAATTGGTCCCAAATGGATGTAACAAATCATACTTTCAATCTGCCCTGCAGCCCTGAATAAATGCTGCGAACAGCCCGAGCTTGTCGGGTACCTGAGCTCCATCCGCTGTGTGCAGCTCCCAGCATTGAACTCAGCAGTCTTAACATTCAGGGAAGTCAAAGGAGGCGAGGCTCACTGTCCCCACTTTCCCCCACACACCAGCTCTACTACCCCCCTGGTAAACACTGGCACTGCTGCTTGCCGACCTTGTCCAACCTGCATATTGTGGGAGATAAGCGGCCCTCAGGACAATACAGCTAGAGTTACTGCCCTTATGCGTTCAACATAATCTCCACTTGGCGCTGTGCTGAAAGGTCAAGCGTAACTGTGGCCCCCCCTGGCTGGAGCAAGACAGGGCTGCCGAGGTCGGTGGGGGTTTCTGTAACAGCTGCAGGTGGAAAGGAACCCCTGCCTGAAGCAGAGATAATTCCATTTGTATACACCAGAGCCCCCCCTCCACTCTATCCGACCCCTACCCCTTAAATCCTGCATATCCCCCCCTCCCCCCTTGTAACTGAGTTGACTGTTTTCCTAGAGGAGAGGAGAACTCCTTGTCTGCACATAGGGGTGGGGGTTGGGGGGTAGCTAGAGTAAAGATTTTACACTATATTCAGGAAGCTAACAGTGTAGCTGGCTAGGCCTGCTAGCCTACAGCTCCGTACTAATGATGAGATTCTATCTTTGATGCTTATGTAAACCCCTCCCTTCCTCTGTCTCTTTGTGTGCTGCAGGTTTTGTGTGGGAGACAAGTTTTTCCTGAAAAACAACATGATCCTGTGCCAGACAGACTATGAAGAGGGGCTGATGAAGGAGGGCTACGCTCCCCAGGTCCGCTGACCCACGTAGGCTGACAAGGAGGACGAGAAGGAGGAAGAGGAGGAGTGGGAGAAAGAGACTGAGGGAGAGCTTGTAATCACAAAAAGCACTATTGCCTCCTGTCCAGCTCCGTACCCCACATGTACATAACTAAGCAAGCCTCCCTGGGAGGGGAAACACTGCTGTACAGAATAGCCATAGAGATGCTGGTGTGGCAGGAAAAGGCCCTGGAAGCCTACAACAAACTACAAGTACGAAAAAAAAATAGTTTGTCCATTTCTTTGTTTGTGACTTACGGATGCTGCCTCTTTCCTCCTGACCAACAACCACCTGCCTCAGAGCAATTTCTAACCAACAGCAGGTCCTGGTTGTTTAAAGAGAAAAAAAAATTAACCCACCCAAAAGCAGTCTTGTCTCATTGTATCTGATAGGTACAGACAGCGTCCCACCTGACTGCACAGTCCAGCTCTTCTACTTGAATCTAAAGTACACTGAGGTATTGTCAATCAATGTAATTTTAAAATAAAGACCTTTTTACTGTATGATATAAGATTACACACAGTGAATGTAAACTGAAGAGTGGCAAAAATAATGTGGATGACTGATTTGTTGCGTGTGTGTGTGTGTGTGTGTGTGTGTGTGTGTGTGTGTGTGTGTGTGTGTGTGAGCATGTGGATCCCTCTTTAGGTCGAGGACTTCAGTCTCGCAGTCTCACAAGGCTTGGTCTGGTCCATATAGTTTAAAAAAATTAAAAAATTTACCCATCGTAAGTCCCATCCCCTTTTGATCTGTGCTCCAATAACCGTTGAACAAGTCTTGGTTGGAACCTCAGTCAACTTCCTCCTTTCCTGTACATAGATGCTATGTGCTAGGTTCGTCTATGTTAAAAATCCAACCGCATTTTGAAGATGGTTGAAAGATAAAAGTGACATATAATCACATCATTATGATCAGGGGCAGATCTAAAAGGGTGGCAGTTGCCAGGTCCCAGTTTGAGTAAAATTCTTTAAATTTAAAAAACAGAAATTACTTCAATGATCTGTTATGGCCTTAGGCCTACCATTTTACACTAAGTGATATACAGCTTAAGTTTACGTCTACTTTGCACCAAACAGCAGTTAGCAACAAGCTGGTGAAGAAAGCATTTAGCGGCTCAGAGCTAAAAGGAGAGTGAATGTTGGACTTCCGTTCATCACAAAAAAAAAACTGATCCACCAGAACGCTGCAAAAATTAGTCCAAAACAGAAATTAGTTAGCATTGTAGCACTTCTGGCTCCTTCTCCTCAAAGTCAACGGGTGTTTGGTTAGATGTCTGAAATAAGGTCTCCGGTTAACACAAACACAAAAAAGAGATTTTCACATTTTGTTCTACGACATAAAATAGTACCCCACCTGGGAATTTTTAAGATTTTTTCGGTGTCTTAAAAAGGCGGCTAAATGAGACAGAGGCTGAGACTTATCGACTGTCTAATCCACCTTTACAGCCTTGATGTGTTTATACTGCCACTCTCGCAAACTATTCTAACTCAGACTTTGGAGTTTAGTTGTGGTAACGTTGGAGTCATGTGAATTTGTTTATAGCCTAACGTTAGCTTGTTACTTCTGGCAATGGCATTAATGCTTCAAAAATCATAAAAGTGGTGTTATTTTCTGCAACAATCCAAAATCCAATGGAAAAATCCCCCAGGCTTATTGTCGAAGGAACCAGGGCGATGCTAACTTCTGGGTTGGCCCACATAAATGAATCATCCCTGCAGCACTCTATGACATGCTAATGCTGCTAACTGTTTGCTCATGAGGTAATAATACAGGGTGTCACATGTCATGTTTTCAGCTTGTACTACTGCCCCCAATTGGCCAAAAAATGATTAAATGCAGCTGTAAACGTTATGGACCAGACAGACAAACTCCTTGGTTTGCGAGACTGTCTTTCATGAGGTGACAGTTCTTGAAATGCATTCCGTCAAAGATACTTTCAGTAATGTTTGGGCACCCCAGGTTTGGACTGTGACTCCAGACTCTTCTCTTTTTTGCTGGAGACAGTCTTTCTATTTATCAAAACCTTGCTTTCACACTGGTAAAACTGAAATGTGGGGGGAATGGCTCGTGAAGACAGGTTGTAGTAGCGGTTGTAGGGGTGCAGGGATCGGTTGGGGTGGTGGGGTTGATTACTTTTTGTACACTATTTATTTGATAAACATTCACCTGTTGTCCAAAATTTGGCATTCTTTGATATGCTGATACTTGAACCCTGTCGATGATTTCTCAATCACTGTTGGCTTACGTTAAGGATGGCTGTGTCATTTTCAGCAAGGCTTTGGGTTTAGTTAACTGCTCTCTGCAGCAAGTCAGTCACCCTAAGACCTGGTCACCTGGGTCAGTATGGCTCCCTGCTGCAGAGGAGTTACGTCCTTTTCTGTTGAGAGGAAAACAAACAATTGATCCTTAAGCATTAAATATCAGCCTCTGAGCATGTGCAACAATGCTCAGCAACATTCCGTAGCTGGAAAAGAGAAAAACCCTTCTTTAATTTGTAAATTGTGGGTGTACATAAAATAAATATTCATTTTTGCTTGCTATTGTACAATGATTTCTTTTTATGTGTCATCCAGCATGAGATGTTTATTTTTAGGACAACGCTTGTAAATACTGTATACTGTAATTGTAATAATTTTAAGCACAAATGTAATACAGTTTTATTGTGTTACCAGTGAGTGTGTTGTGTTTTTTCTCTCTCATTCTTACAGGTCTGATTGTTATTTCAATAGTTGTTGGACTGAGATTTAAATCTCAAGAAAGTTTACACCTTCACACTGTTTGCTCAAGCAAGTTAAATATCTAGCTCAAGGGCACAGCATTAGATGCAAACCACCCGCCAGAAAAGGCCTGTTCCCTGTCCATTACCCTAACCAGCAGAGCATGTTGCAGCCTATGATATATGATTGATCTAAAGTGCAATCATTTCCTCAGTTTGTTGTCTCTGCTGCTTATAAAATGCCTTTTTGAAAGGGAGCTTACAAAACCTCAGAGTGAAGAGCCTCAGTTGCAGGGTTGAAATTCCCTATTCAAATGAGATCTTCACGCATTTCTCAAATCCATCTTTTGTTCAGTTCCAAAAACACAATAGGCTTTCATCTTGTCAGAGGAAAAAGTGGATTTTCTATTTTGGTACTGTCATGTGTCAAACATGGAATGAGAGAAAAACCAACGCATCAATTATATGTTGCCATCAGCAGCTTTCAAGAAGGGTTGCCAGCTATCTCCTCCTGGGTTGTTTCAATTTATTACCTGGATTTCAATTTAGAATAATCTGGAATGTCGAGGTAAAACATTTGGATTAAAGTTATTGCTCTAATTAGCGAGGTTCTTCTAAAGTGCCCTGTGAAGTTTGTCGACACTGATGCTTACATCACATTACAGAGCATAATATCCAGGCCAATTAAGCTAATTGAATTCCCTTATCCAGAGACACAAAGAAGAGAAACTCTTTGATTAGGTTCAAGCTGTTGAAAGTCCTTTAGTTGATGAAAACACTCAGAGTAGATGGAGATTACAGCCTATGCAAATTAAAAGAAAGTGTGGTAACCGTAGGGAGAATTCTCACTAATGGCAGGCATGTGTCATGTGTTATTATAGCTCATAGAAGAAGTCTACGGTAGGATCTATAACCATTTACCCACATATAACAGATGCTCTTATGGGTAACACTTCATAAACATATTTAGGTGCTTGCGATAAGCGTTAGTTAATGGGTAATAAGGGTCTTGTGAGATGCTTATTAACATTAACATATGTTAATTAGACAATGTACATGTTACTAATAGTATCATAAATGTTTACATAAATGTTTAATATTATTGTTAAAAATAATTTATGATTACATTATTATTTGTAAAATAGCACTTACAAGAAACTGTTTATAGACTATCTAAGAACGTTAGTAAAATACATTATCTTTGTGGCTGCCATTTATGTGAAAATGATGGAAAGATGTATTATAGTGTGTTTTTGTGCTACACAGCTAAAACATTGTACCTACTTTTAATTTTTTTTGTCACATTTTATTAAAATTTACAACATGTAAAAAGCATAGTTAACTGTTAAGTTATCAAGGGCAGGTGTCTTATACACTAACAATTAATGTGTTTATGATGCCATTATCAACATAGTCTTACTAACACACAATAATGCATAATTAAGTTTTTATTAACCATAATAAGCATTGTTCCAACTTCAGATGTGGTACCCCCAGAAAGCATAGTTAACTACGTGCATAATAAAGTTCAGTAGTTAGTAAGTGCATTTGTTAACTGATAATAAATGTATAATTAAGTATGTAGAAATATTAAGAAAGCAATAACAGAAGCTTAGTAAAGGTTTAACAATGGCAGTCTTTAAACTGTTATAAGTTTCATATAAAAGCTTATAAATGTCTTACACAATACACGTGTTTATGATGCCATTATTTACATTTTATTTTCTTACTAAAATACATAGTCTTAATAAGCATCTCATAAGGCCTGTTACCTGTGAGATAGTAGATTTTACACTACGTGGCACATTCGCCCTTTCACACACATGGAGCGAAGCCTGCGAGCTAGTTCAGGCAGGTCAACCCGATAAATTCCCTTGGAGGAATTTGTTTAAATACAACGTGAAAAAATCGCCGAAAACGACCACGAAATTCAAAATGGCCGACTTCCTGTTGGGTTTGGGTCCAAGAGGCTTTTTTGCTTGTCTGATGATGATCATATGCGTATCAAGTTTTGTACATGTCGGTGATACGTGTCTTGGGGGCTGATTAAGGGTGGCGTGGCTAAGCCATTTTGAGACGGCCATCTGCGGGAACAAGACAATACCTTTCAGTCGTGGTAATTTTGTGCAAAGTTTCATCAGTTTTCGGGCACGTTTAGCCCCCCAAAATATGTTCAAATGTTAACACAAAAGCTGATTTTTGCTGGGTCTCTATGGCAACGTAGTTCTACGAAAATTCTTAGGATTCATAAGATGTCATCGTCATCATCCTAAGGGACTTCTGACAGAATTTCAGCTGGATCTGGTCAATCTGCTGGGAGATATACATAAAAGTATAAAAATTACATTTCCTTTTACCACTTGGTGGCGCTATCACTATTAGTGAATATTATCACATAGATGCGTTCAGGAAGAGACTCTTATCAGACAAGCGAAGTTTGGAGCCGACTGGACAATGTATACTCGAGTTATGACAAATTTGTGTGTTCTGGCAGTACATACAAATTTGACACCACGCCACGGACACGCCCTTTAACAAACCTTCACCACAATCATGAAATATCAACAACAATAGGTTTTGCATTATCTGACTAAATTTCAGCTGTATCTGACTATCCTGCTAGGAGTAGAACATGGAAGTATAAAAAAATCAGGGCGGGACTCTTATTATACGTGAAGTTTTGTTGAGCTTGGATCATGTATACTATGTTATGCTTAGTTATGACAACTTCCTGTTTCATGTCGAATCCTTGAAATTCGACGCCACGGCACCTGCATGCCATTCGACAGAATGTTGTAAATAGCACAACTTTTAATCATGAATGTCTTAAGATTGCACTGATTAAATTTGAAGTCGAGCTGATAAATTCCCTAGGAGTTTGTTCAAATACAACGAGTGCAAATCTCCAGAAATGACAGCTAAATCCAAAATGGCCGATTTCCTGTTGGGTTTGGATATGGCTCCCACTGAATTTTTTTTGTACATCGGGATAAGATCTACGTTTTTATAGATTTTTATACATATCGGTGAAAGGGGACCCGGGAGTTATAATTTATAGGCCCCTAGAAAATATGAAATTTTTCGCCACGACTGACATGTGCGGCGCGTTTCTTGAGTTTTCGAGCATGTTGCGGCCTCCAAAAATGCGATCGTTTGGGAGGAATAATAATTCGTACAGATACAATAGGGCCTTCGCACAAGTCAGTGCTCGGGCCCCTGAGGGGCGATTTTGCCATGCTCATAGTGGACCCCTAGAAAATACAAAATATTTTGCCACGACTGACATTTTCAGCGTTTTCAGTGCTCGGGCCCTAAATATTCAGCGTCAACATTTTTTCTGGACCTGTGTCAGATTACTCTGAATAATCCACAGTTTTTTGTGGGACTATATGTTTGGTAGAAAGTAGCTCCAGGTAGTCTGTGGATTATCCAAAACCATGACATTGTTTCTGTAAAGACAAGCTGACAGAATCAAGGACAGAATCAAGGAATAACTTTTTTTCTCAAACATTTTTTTTTCTCTCGGATCATTTATTTTCTCACATGTAATAAAAACACAAATTTAACTCCATATGCAGTCGTGTTAAATAAAAGATTACTACAGTGCTTTTACTTTGAAAAGGAAGTTTAAACTGTAGTGAAATATGTGGATATGACTACCAATAGATCCTTTCACTGTGCTCTTTTGCTGGGAGACGCGTGTGGCTCGGGGGAAAATAGGCAAGTCCTCGACTCTCTAGTGAAGCGTTGCTGCAGCTGCAGCTGAGACCACAGGCAGTGTAAGTGCTCTAATCTCTTAACAAGGCCGGCGGGAAAAAATCAAGTTTCCACCACGCAGATGGGGGCGGTGTGAACAAGCCACAAGTCTTTCTCACTAGCACTCTCTAGTCTCCGAACAAAAATAATGCCACAGACAGTAAGTAACAGACCTTACTGCCTCTACCAAATTGATTATTCAGTGACAACAAATCAGTTAATCTACTTGTGATTATTTCAGGTATTGGTTTTACCCAAACAAGCACTGTTGGCATTGCCACTTTAGTTTTACAGTACAAATGTAACCCCAAAGGAAAAAAGGCAACCCCATAATAAAGCAACCCCTTAGTCAACTAAAAATATTGTTTGCTTTTTTACTTGTATTTACACATTAGTTTTTCAATAGTGGAGTGAGCCAAATTGAACATTTCCTCTGTCTACAAGTAGCTGACTTTAGAAAGTAGCTTGAGCTAAAGTCAGCCTTCTCTTGCTCCCTCGTGCCTGTCTGAAATCTGGAATAGTCTTTCACATTAACACTCAGCTTTACCAAAGGGTAGACTGAACTGGGAGGCACAATACTGTTTTATTTAAGAGTCTTTATTACAATATTAGCTGCTCACAGCTCACTGGGGGCTTCAGCTAGATGTTCGTAATACATCAAAGTAGAAGAAATCCTGATAAAACTAAAGAAAATAAAAAACTAACAACTTGTCCGTGTCCCTTTCAGCTACAGTGAGCTAACGAAGCACAAAGTAAAATAGAGATCCCAAGCCCTACCACAACAGGGTCTGCAGTCATTAAGAGCATTTAGAAAAAGCATTAGATGCCAGGCTGCGTATCGTTAGCGTCTTCATCCCTGTGTTACAGCTGACCCTGGAGTTAGCGCTGGGTTTGCAGTTAGCCCTGCTCTCCTTTGCCAAACGGCTCGAGGGGTAAAAATAATGATCTTTACAGACATGCCAATGCTATCTGGACCAGATAACACTGCTTTAATGACTCCTTATCCTTTGGCCCTTTCAAGGAGATGGGCGCCCTGGCAAATATATTCCCGTTGTTGGGTCATTAGCGCTTTATTGCAGGGATAATAGACTTTTGTATTTTTGGTCTGATTTGAGTGTACTACCCAACTGAGTACAACCCTCCAAAAGATTAGTCAGCCCTTAGCAACAATACACAATACTCATGTCACAATAACTGATTCAC